CAAGTAAATATATGAAAATATGGGGAATCCTGTTATTTGTGTGTATTAATTTGTGTGTCCCAAGGCCTCTTCAGGTGTGTGTGTGTGTGTTCCCCCGCTCATGTTCCGCCAGCAGCGCGCAGCCTGTGCCCGCCCTCGCAGTGACCGCCCGCGTCGTACTGAGGGGCCTCCGTGGACCAGCACACGCTGGCGCTGCAGTCAACCCGCATAGGAAGGACGGGCAACCTTCCGAAGGGTATCCTTGCATCCTTGCATCCTCGGTACACCCTTGGCCGCGTTCGTTGGCCGCGCCCCGCGCGAAAACTTCGAAATGGGCTTCCAAGGGCCTTGCATCCTCATCGCGCATCCTTACTGTACGGGTTGACTGTGGCACACGTTCTGAGGATCATCGAGAGGGGTGGGGCTGGGGAGGGGAGAGCAGCACAATGGCACCGCTGCGGACACGCGCTGGGGGGCCCAGCCATCACCCGAGACCAGACGGGCGGGGCCGTGGCCTCTAGAGCATGTTGGTTCCGCGTCGTGTGGGGCAGCATGCGCAGATCGTGTTGTAGCATCTCTGAACAGCGTGCGCGACTGTTCAATGAGAAGGTTACACAGCGGCTCACGATGCGATCTGTGCAGGGAGCTGAGTTTGCAGAGGCGGATCTCCCTTTTGACAGCCCCAGGGGGCCCCGCGGGGAAGGTGGGAGCCCTCCAGACCTTAACAACAAACAAGAGTAGAAGGTTAACCATCTCTTGTCGTTGGTGCTGTCGTCATTCGTTGTTGCAGTCTCGTTAAGCGCTGATGTCGTCTCAGGCGACTCGTACCGCGTACCCATGTGAGATCATTCCGTTGCTGTTCGTGTTGGTGCATGTGGGCGGTGGGTGGAGGTCATGGCGGCGTTAACGCATGAATACGTTGATGTCATCGTCCCAGCGCTTCTTCTGGCAGAGGGAGGAGAAGGGAGGATGATGAGGAGGAGGGATGAGGTCATGGAGTCGTAGGAACAGGAGGAGGAGGAGGAGGAGGAGGAGGAGGAGGAGGAGGAGGAGGAGGAGGAGGAGGAGGGGTGGGAGGGAGGAGGGAGGAGGAAGCGAATGGAGCAGTGAGGGCGGGAGTGAGGAGTGAGGTAGGAGGGAAGGAGGGAGGGAGGGATGAGGGGGCGATGCGGGGTCTGGGGGGGGGGGGGTGCAGGGAGGCAGGGCGTGCGGGGGGAGGGGGGCGGAGGACCAGTAGAACATGGAACCAGTGGTGGGACTGGAGCGCGTTCCCGCCTGGCGAACGGAAGGCGCTGGCGGGCGGTCCTGCGTCCGACGACCCGGCGAGGGGCAGAACGCAGTCCGCGCACGGGCGGGAGCGGGACTCCAGAATCTGCGCGGCGTTGCGGCGAGGGCACGTTCGGAGTCTTCTCACGGTGGCCAGATGTTCGATGTGCGTGGCGAGGACGAAGCACGTGCCGCGCCCACCACGAAAGCTGCGCGGCGCTCGGGCCCGCTGCCGCTGACGCTCTCGTGCGATGCGGCGAGCGAAGTCTGCGCCGCGCCCAATGCGGGAAGGGATCGTGGCCTCGGGGGCTCAACTGTGGCGTAATTTACTGGGGATCGTGGCCTCAGAGGCGCGAGTGTAATGTAATTTGCAGGAGATCGTGGATTAGGGAGCGCGAGTATCATGCATTTGATTCGGAATGGTGGCATCGGGGAGGCGAATGCGGTGCAATTTGCAAGGGATCGTGGCCCCGGGGACGCGAGCACAGCGTAATTTACGAGTGATTATTGCGTCGGGAGCACCTCCTGTATTTTTACGTGTCCCCAACTCCCATGCGAACCGTGAGCGGAGAGCCTGGTCGATGGCGACGAGTCGCCCGCTTTCGCGGGGCCTTGTGCCTGACCAATTGGCGAGCGAAACATATGCGGCTCGCCCAGGCGTGATCCGCTAGAGGGAAACAATTAGTAAACACCCCCCCTGCCCCCCAAAATCAAAGTTGGCACGCGCGGGGGGTAGACTGCGGTCGAGGTGCCACTCATCAGACCCACCGCCAACTTTGGACATTGGGGGAAGGGGGAGGCGTTGACAGATGAATGTGGCATGAGTGTTCGCTATTTTTTCCGAGCCCTGATCGCACTTTCAGGCAAATCTGCGCGGAGCGGATCCGCTTGCGCGTTGGCGAACTGGCGAGCGAAGGCTGCGCGTTTCGCCCAGGCATAGGTTCAGTTCTAAGGAGAACGAGCGCCACCCTGAGGCACGAGCGTCGTTTCGCCCTCTCGCGCGTGATGCGCGCCCCGTCATGTTGAGAGCATCGACTGTGCACCTGCTGGCTAGGTGGCAGAGTAGGAGCACGTGCTGGGGAGGGTGCGCCGGCAGAGGCGAGGGCTCCTATCTTCCCCCCCGCCCCGTGCGGAGGTTCAGGTGCCGCAGCAAGTTCGCAAAGGCTGTGCTGCACGTGATCGCCTCCCAGCTGAACGAGGTACAGATCAAAGGCCCGCCATGAAGCGGCGAGGGCCGGGGATCGAGGTTCGATCCTCTGGGGTATATAGATACAGATACACATACATACCTACATATACATAGATACATAGATATAAATATGTTTGTTTCACCTTCTTCGGACCTTGGGGAGGTTCCTCCTCGTCGACACGGCTGGATACTCTTAGGGATTCTGCTCAGAACGCGCGCCCTGGAGAGATCGCAGGCCGATCTTTTGCGGATCGGCAGGGTGAGACGTGGCACTGGGGGAAATGAGCCTTGGAGACTCTTCGCCGTCTCCGGGGCGTCCCCGGCAGGGTCCTCTCGCTGGACACGAGCGTAACCAGCACGACGGCTCGGTGCTGAGAGCCGGTCTTGGGGGAAGCTCTGATGGGCCTGTTTTCCACCACCACCACCATAAGTTGGAGGGGGAGGGGGTCCTCCTCCTCCTCCTCCTCCTCCTCTCCTCCTCCTCCTCCGCGTCCTCCTCCCCCTCCTCCTCCTCCTCCTCCCCCTCCAACTTATGGTGGTGGTGGTGGTGGAAAACAGGCCCATCAAGCTCTGGGGCCCAGGTCGATGATCCTCAGGACGTTTGGTAGCCAAAGCGTGCCTGCCCTGTGCGGGTCCGCCGCTGGCGCGCAGCCCGTGTCAGCACTCGTTGCGCCGCCTGCGTCGTGTGGAAGGGCCTCGGAGGACGGATGATGGGCGTGGTTTCACCACCACAACCATAAGATTGGTGGGGGGAGGAGGAGGAGGAGGAGGAGAAGGAAGGTGAGGAAGAGGAGGAGGAGGAGGAGGACCCCCCCTCTCCAACTCATGGTGGTGGTGGTGGAAAACACGCCCATCAACGGACACACGTTGGCGCGAGCACACGTTCTGAGGATCATCGGCCAGGACTCGTTTCCGCAGGGGCGCCCTCGAGGGCGCGCAGTCATTCGCGCCGCGCGCTTCGCGGTTCGGCTCCGATTCCTCATCCTCCCCTTCTCCTCTGGGAGGCGGCGCGATAGCGCGAAGTCATTCGCACTTCGCGCTTCTTCGCGCTTCGCGGAGCGCGAAGCGCGAAGTTGGGAGCCCTAGTTTCCGCCAGGACCCCTCGCTCGCGCGACCATTTGCGAACTCGACCCTTGCGGGTCCAGTCGATGTTGGGAAGCCGGACGATCCCCGTAGGGTCACGTTTTGGCTGCGGACATCCTTCAAATTATGACCCCCCGTTGGCGCCTTTGAAAGCTGACCTGCAGGGGTAAGCTCATACATGGAGAATATACCGACACTGCTACGCTTCCACCGTCGCCGCGGCTGGATTCGCCTCGAAATTCTGGTCAGAACGCGCCTCGGAAGAGGTCCGGGGAGCAGCGGTGGCGGTATAGTTTATCCCCCGAACGTAGGGGTCATGTGTGGTCTTTTGCCTCCCTCCTGCCGGGGAGGCCTCCGCGAGACGTTCCTGTCGCTGGACAGCAATGGGGACGGCCTGCTGACCCTTGCGGAGATACGGGACGGCCTCTTGCAGGCAGGCATCATGGAGCTGCCCGAGGACCTGAAGGATCGGGGGACGCCTATCATCCGCCTCACCGATCCTGCCTGGGGCCGCTCCGGGCCAAGAAGGGCGCCCCCCTGGCTTGCCCACGGGGCATGATGCTGTTTTCTTACTCTCTGGTGAGTGATGGGACGGTCTAGAACGATCCGCGCCATCGGAACGCCGTGATCGTTCAAGACAGAACGATCCGTGCGGTGTCTGAAGTCAGCGGGCAGGCAGTCACGACGTGAACCTGCCGCACCGACCTCGGGCCAAGGATCGGCCCCTCCAGGATTGGTGCGGTGGATAGTTGACGAGGGGGAGGAGGAGAAGGAGGAAGAGGAGGATGAGGAGGATCGAGGAGGAGGAGGAGGAGGAGGATCGAGGAGGAGGAGGAGGGAGGAGGGGAGGAGGAGGAGGTCGGAGGAGGAGGAGGTATAGGAGGAGGAGGAGGCGGAGAGGGAGGTTCGAGGGGGAGGAGGAGGGGGTGGTCCCCCCGAGAGGAGATCATGGAGGGGCTTGGACGCGGACGGGAGTGGCGTGATCGACTACACAGAGTTCCTGGCGGCCACATCGAGAAGTGGGGCCAGCAGCGTTTCGCACCCACAAAAGGGTCCTCCTCGTTCTCCTTTCCTCATACTCCTCTTCCGCCTCCTCCTCCTGCCTACCCTCCTCCTCCTCCTCTAAATTTACTCCTCCTCTCCTCCCCTCCCCTCCTCCTCCCACTCCTACCCTCCTCTCCCCCCCTCTTCCTCCTCCTTCCTCCTCCTCCTCATACTCCCCCTTCCTCCCCCTCCTCCTCCTCCTCCTTAGACTCTCTCCTCCTCCTCCTCCTCCTCCTCCTCCTCTTGTCGGGCCTCTCGGAGTTACCAGCCTGAAACATATCCTTGATCCCTACGATTGCTATCACTTTGCCTCGGTGCCGACCTTAAAGCTGCCTTTCTCCAGTTTCTGGGGGCCACACCCCTAAACATCGTCATCGCCCTGTGCTCGCCACTCTGAAGGGTGCGGGGGAGCTCGACGCTGGTTGTGGAAGGTTCTCTTGGCCACGGTTGGTCGCCACACGATTTGTTTGTTGGTAACACTTGTTACCTAACAGCGAAGACTGATAGGTTTCTAGTAGGGTCAAAAGAGAGCATCATGACGCCCCAGGGGGGTCTGGGCGCGATCCGGGGGGATGCCGGGGACCTCGTTTTAAGCAAGCAGTAACGCACTTCGTGGTCTTCGAGTTCCCAGAACTCCATTCCTAGGCATGATTTTGAATGCCCGGAGGCAGCTGTAGGCCACTTCGTGTTCTTCGTGTTCCCAGAACACCATTCCCGGGCCACATTTTGAATGCTCGGAGCCAGCTGTAGGCCACTTCGTGTTCTTCGTGTTCCCAGAACTCCATTCCCGGGCCACATTTTGATTGCCCGAAGCCAACTGTAGGCCACTTCGTGTTCTTCGTGTTCCCAGAACACCATTCCTGGGCCACATTTTGAATGTCCAGAGCCAACTGTAGGCCACTTCGTGTTCTTCGTGTTCCCAGAACATCACTCCCAGGCTACATTTTGATTGCCCGGAGCCAACTGTGAGGCTGAGGCTGAGGCAGGCTGAGACTGAGCCTGAGGCAGGCTGAGGCTGAGGCTGAGGCTGAGGCAGGCTGAGGCTGAGAGGCTGACGCTGAGGCTGAGGCAGGCTGAGGCTGAGGCTGAGGCCGAGGCAGGCTGAGGCTGAGGCTGAGGCAAGCC